TGCAAAGAAAGACAGAAAAGAGGCAAGAGTTTTGTCTGAGATTCTGGGAAGTTGGTGCTCTTCAGATGTGTTGGACAAGATCTCCAGCTAGCATGATGGAAGTTGTACTCCATCATATCTGGAGGCTGTCAGAATGGGGAAGGCTGCAAGAGTTTTGTCTGAGATTCTGGGAAGTTGGTGCTCTTCAGATGTGTTGGACAAGATCTCCAGCTAGCATGATGGAAGTTGTACTCCATCATATCTGGAGGCTGTCAGAATGGGGAAGGCTGCAAGAGTTTTGTCTGAGATTCTGGGAAGTTGGTGCTCTTCAGATGTGTTGGACAAGATCTCCAGCTAGCATGATGGAAGTTGTACTCCATCATATCTGGAGGCTGTCAGAATGGGGAAGGCTGCAAGAGTTTTGTCTGAGATTCTGGGAAGTTGGTGCTCTTCAGATGTGTTGGACAAGATCTCCAGCTAGCATGATGGAAGTTGTACTCCATCATATCTGGAGGCTGTCAGAATGGGGAAGGCTGGAATAGACAAATTCTGGGTTAGATGGATCAAGGCTATGATAGCACCGACCACTTGCCTATATTCACGCAGGAAAGCAGGTGAAGCTCCTCTCGCCTTTACACACCCACCAGCTTTCCTTTCCGTCCGGTCAGCCCTCAAGGGCCTTCCCCAATAGGCTCCCTTCAGATCCTTGGGACTACAGCTTCCATTATGCTGGTTGGAAATGACCAAGTCCACGATCCAATGCAGCTGAAGCACGAATGTCTGCCGGGCCCCACAAGCCTTTAACTCCTCCACCTGCTGCACCTTGTGTAGCAAGAGCCCGTGGCGGAGATGGCGGCGGGTCGCGTTGCAAGGATCGCCCTGTTCCCGGGCCGGCTCCGCCCCCGAAATGGTTAAACGCGACTCTCTTCAGACCCCGTGAACGGCCCATTGAGTCAGGAGTGCCCAATCTGCGAGGCGCTGGCGGCCGCGGCGAAGGGAGACGACTTCCTTGTCCCGCTGCCTCTCCCGAGCGCCTCTCAAGAGGGCGGCGGGAGCACAAGGAGGGCGCGCGCGTATCAAAGGCCCGGCTATGGGCGGCGAGGAAGAGCCCTAAGTCGCCAAAGACGGCCAAGATGAGGAGGTCGGTCTTCGCGCAAGAGGCAGAGATGCTCTCCGCAGCCGCCGGATTAGGGGGGGCCGAGTTGGCAACGCAGTCCTGGAGCTGATGGGCTTGTAGCCTAGCTGGCCCTCGGCAGGTGCTCGCCGGCGCTCTGGTGGAGGAAAATGAGTGTGATGCTGTGGCGCTGGGAGCAGAATAACCTGACCATGAAGTTGGTAAGGATCCCCGCGGCGGGACGGCAAAAGCAGCTCGCCTCTGAGCGCCCTTTCTGGCGTTCGGCTTGCGCTCCTCGCGAGACGGAGCGCGGCTCCCGCTGGCGTCGCGCCTGTAACGAAGTTGGTAAGCACCAAAGCTGGAGCGGAGGAGCGGAGGCCGGTTCCTCGAAGCTCCTCCTTTGGGTTAAGTAGTTGGGCCTGTGCCGGGAGCTTTCTCGGTTGAAGCAAAGCGTAGCTGGGACTGCGCGGACTTTCTTCTTTCTTTCCCCTTGCAGCTTTCCCTCCACGTGCTTCCTCTCATCGTAATTCCATAGGCGCAGTTATTTGGGTACCCGCCTTGTGGATGGATTTGGTGCCTAATTTTTCTTGCTTGCTTTTTCAGACATCTTAGTTCATGTTGCCCGGAAAGTTTTAGAAAGAACCTGCAGCTCCTGGGTCAGGCAAATGTGTGCGGGTTTCCCATTCCCCAGCACAAATCACATCAGGAAACTCCCACATCTGTCTGTGTTTTGAAATTGTTAACCAGGCCAAGACTGCAATTGTGGGTTAAACATGTTGAGAACCTGCACATTAGCGCCTTTTGGAAACCTGATTTCCAAACACAAGCCAGCAACAACTGTTCTGTTTTGAAGAAGTGTGTATGTGTGTGTTTAACCCATATATTGGATTATTTTTTAAACAATGGAAATTGCACTCCTGTGCTCATTTGCTCTAAAATACATTTCTGATGAGGTTGAAATACAATAGCAAGGATTTGGTCTGAGTGTCAGGGGACTCTAAATTTTAATGCCTGGGAAATCCGTTGAATCCTTTGCACCTTAAAATAATTTTCTGGGTATTAACTGAACGGTGTAACTATGGCTGTCATTCAAAATTGTCTTCTATAAAATATTGTCCTACTTGGACAGGCATCAGTGTATGGAGGATACTGCTGAATAAAACAGCTGGTTGGGAGATCAAGATGCCTTTATTCAACATGCATGAGTGCCTCTTGGAAAATTGAATTTTTGAGTTGGCAGGAAAGGATGCATGTTAAGCATGGGGGTTATCCAGGCATGAACTGAACTGTTCCTATGAATGCTGAAATGAGAGGTGACTGCTATTCCAGTAGTTGGCCTTCTTATGTTCCGGAAATCAGGAAGCAGAGAGAATAGGCTCTGCAGGTGTATAGAAAGCCCTTTCTTGCAAACATAAACATCTCAGTCACTTTTGAATGGGTCCCAAACAAAGGTGAATTTTCATGTAGTGCATAGAAGGAACTGAGCCAGCTTTTTTTTTTTTTTTAAAGGAGCAGGGAGATACAAGCTTTAAAAGGTGGGTAAAATGCCAGTAATTTTCCTCTTGATGTTTTGGTTGAATAGCTGGGATCAAAAAACACATGCTTAAGATCACACCTCATAGAGATGGTGAAATTATACTAATCAATCTGAGGATCTGATTGTTAATAGTAACAGTGCACACTTACAAGTAGTTAGCTTGAAAGTATGTCTCAGTGAACTCCATAGAGCTTACTTATAAATCAAATGGCTGTAATTGCAGCATAATAGAGACAAGCAAATTGGAGGATGCAAGAAAATTTCCTCTCATATTTTTTGACTGTTGCTCATTTGTTGACTATGTTTTTGTAATTTGTTTTTTTTCTTTTGGAATTAAAAAAAACAAAGTTGCTTGAGGGACCGCCTGTCTCCCATAGATCTGATCTGGCAGGGTTGGCATGCTCTGGATTCCTTCAATTAAACAATGTCACCTATCAGGACCCAGATGTGCACCTTGTCTGTAGCAGTGCCTGCCTTCTGGAATAAGGTTCCCCCTGAGATTCAAATGGCCCCTATCTTATGGTGTCCTGAAGGACCCTGAAGACCTGGCTCTTCCCCTAAGTCTTTGGCAAACGTGATTGAAGCCCCCTTTTCTTCTTTTTCTTTGTTCCCATCAGGGTTTGTTATCTCTGCCATCTTTGCTCTATTTTGCTTTGTGTTGTTTTCTTGTTTTAAATGTTTTTAACAATTTGTAAACTGGCCAGAGTTGGGCAACATATATGTTTAATAAATTATTATCATCATCATCTAAGGCTGTTGCTGTCAGAAAATGTACTAAGTCACAGGACAGTGCATGTATGCTTATTATATCTAATAGGCACTGGTTTAGTCTTTGTGTGGGGTTCTGTAAACTCAGTAGGTATAATGGATTCATCCCTTTTGATAGTAATAAATAGATGCTATCCATCCTATATTTACCAAGCTCAGCAACATGGAAAGCTCTAAGAATGAAAGCTTGCACCTAGGGCAAGGATCTAAGAAGGACATGACATGGAAGAACTTGAGCAGCCAACCTTTCTCACTAGACTTCAAGTGCCACAAAAGATGCAAGTTAGTGTAGCATCTGATGCTGCTGCCCACCATGCTTACGTCTCATGTCCAGGGAAGTGAGCGTGTTTGGACCAGCTAATTGGTTTGTCTTATTATTTCCAGCCATTGGATTTCATTAGTTCTGCAGAACAAATTTGTGGAAGGACTTTCATATTGATTTGTATAGGAAAACAAAAAATCACCATGTGGCTTTTTCCATCGCAGTATCAAAGTGATGGGAAAGACTGCATCTTCTCTTCTATTGGTAAGACTGCATCTAGTGGCATTTTTCCATCTATGAAAGTTCTAAAACTACAGCAGGCATCTTGAAAGGATCCCGTAGCCATTCCTGAATTTTCTGTTTATAATTCTCTGGTTTCCAAATCATCCTTGCTTTGCAGCAAGGGGTCATAGACCTTTTTTTTCAAAATATATAAAGATTGTCCCTGTAGAATCTTTCTTCTTTAAAACTCTGTCTATCCCATTGTTCTGTTTTAGATCCAGCTGTATTGACTGCTTATTTCCATCAAAGAAAACTATCTGGTAATATTTCATGTTCCCTCTCTGAGGGGTAAATTAGATTATATAAGTCAGCTTTTTTTCTGAAAATGAAAATCAGCCACAGGGAACTATGATTGTTCAAAGAATGAACAGTGCATGATTCCATGTGCCCCCCTCATTGGTCTTCCATGTCTAGAAGTAGATATCTGAAGTTATTTTGCATTTTTAGAAAGGTGGAAAAAAGCCACATGCACCAAAGCATTACGTCCAAGCCCAGCAATTAAAATATTTGTGGTCATTGCATGGCATCATATCAGCTCAATGAACAAGCTCCAGTGGTAGTCTGAGTGTCAGCTAACTCTTTTCTTAAAAAACAAACTTTTTTTTGGTCATTCATTTATTCAATTTATATCTCATTCCTGAATCACATAGTGCATAGACACAACTTACTTTTGAATAGCTTACAGGCATTTGTATTTGGATAGTGAATATTCCACCTAGTGTTGGTTTGATAAAGTTTTATTGGTCTTAATGAAAATTGCAATGTGTTGCTGTCCCTTTTCTCTTTCACATTGACTGTGCTCTATCTGTTGTAAACAGCTTTTTCTCATTTTATTAGGCACAGAGGAGAAACTAGAAGCTCACAGAAATGCTTTCTACAGTTTGTTGCACCTGGTGTGCTTGTCTAGGATGATTTACCGTAGAATTAAGTGTGTTGGTGGCAGTCTTTGGCAGGAGTCCTTGGGAATTTTTTTTTTCTCCATCCACTTTTTAGTAAGTAGATAGCATTAGTGGGTGATAAAGATTGGATGTTCTAGGGAAAAGGCTTTATTTTTGTAATAATGAATGCTTGTTTTAAATCATGCACATAGAACTTTGTGCATCTAAATCAAGCAAAGATTTAAATTAAGCACTGTAAGTTAAGGAAGCTGAGTTACTTCTGTTACTGTTGTACCATTTAAACAGTGAGAAATCCTTTATGTTTACCACCCTGTTCTCCATCTAAAAATATCTAGGAAAGAGGAACACAGGTTCCAGAAAAAAGACAGTGGTGAAGCAAGAGAAGGAAAAAGAAAAACTGTGGTATATGTAATCACAGGACAGTTTATGGAGACTGATTTTTCAAAAGAGTTCAAGATCATTGACTATTTATTGTTATTTCTCTCTTCTCTGCTTTTAAAAAGTTTTTCCTTTTTTATTTTTGCAACTTTTACCCCATTTTTCTGCTTAGATCATTACTCAAGAATTCTCTCTGAATTTTTAAACAGATACAAAAATTAAATATTATTAATTTGAATATCTTGTTTCTTTTTGTACTTTGTTTATTACATATACAGCCTGCTTTGCTTCCAAAGAGATCAAGACAGCATAAAAAGGTTCCCCTCTTTCACTACACTTTGTTTTATCCTCAGTAGAACCCTACTAAGCAAAATAAACTAATAGTGGCCTGGTATTCCCATTTTGTTAAATTATAGTTTAAAATTAATTTCGTGATTCTATAATTCTGCTGGTTTCTTCCAATACATCTGAGGGGAGATCAGAAGCTTGCATTTTACATTATAATTAATCATGATAATTTGTTAAATTCAATCACATGAAACACTTTTTTTGGTAACTCTGATTGGGGAAATGATTTGATTTCAAACCTATGTTCATGATCTCAGTTTGTCACAATGATGGGTCAAAACTTGATAGAAAACTCTTAAGTACAACCATGCCAGTAGGAAAAAATAAAAGAATGAGTTTGAAGTTCTCTTAAGCTTGTATTTGTCATTCAAAACCTAACTGTTGCATCTAAAGGAAGCCAGTGATTGTTTCAAAGTCCTCCACTGACCTTCATAGGAAAGTCTGATCCGCTATCATCTCTATATAGTGAATATCACAATTTATGTTGAGTACAGTAGCTGATTTCAGACTTCTCTTGAAGGTCATACTGGACTACGAAGATTGTGCCAAGGTATGCACATGGAACTTTTCCATGCAAGGGTCACATCTTATGTGTTGTTTGGAGCAACTCAAATACATACTTCAATTCACTTTTCAACATATTCCAAATGGACACTTGTGTAAGAGGCAGAGCTATATTATGCAGCCTAGGAATTCTTCTCCATGCTGCAATGAATAGGGAGCTACAGAAAGCCCTTAATGTCTTAT